CACTTTGCTATTTGAGCATTTTGGTGATGGTTTGAGTGGTGAGGTTGGCTTAAGAGTCACAAGGCAAGAGTTTCATACAATTACATTCCTGAAGAAATGGGATATGAGTTGCATGATGGTGACTATGTTCGAGCATACAATCCTCATGTATGGTGGTTACGATGATGATGATGAGTCCGGAGACGAGCCAATGGCGCAGTCACGGAGTTCAACTCCACCAGTCACCCTAGAGCGTATATGGGAGCGCATGGATGTCGTGCTTTGCTACTGCTCAGTCTGTATCTCGTGCTATGCTCTGCGGGATTCGAAAGAAGCTCGCCGATGTTGTGCTCTGCGGGAATTGGGAAGAAACTTGTCAGCGTCGTGCTCCACATCCAGTCGTTTACGAATCATTGAATCCACAACTCCACTCTTGTCTCCACTAGACGACAGAAGGCAGCAACAATCAAATGTCAAGCAACCAGAAGGAAGACTCCCCAGCAACTGTAAGAATTTACCGGATTGGGTCTTTGTATTGGGATGGAGTTGGGCTCTAGTTGGGGAAGAGCAAAAGGTGGGTTGGGTTGCTGAAAGTTGGGTTTGAACAGGCTTGCAGATAATTATGCAGTTTGGTTGTTATTCGGTGTGGTTAACGGTTAGTCTACAAACCGCAAATTGGCCAATTGTACTAACCATGACCACTTGAGCCCCCTTTAAAATGTTTCTGGTTAACCGCAAACCTCGCTTATTCGATGTGGTTTCGGTTTAACCGCAAAACTGTAAGCTTTTTCCACTCATACCAAATTCCCACCTTTAGTGAATGGTTATGTAATATAGACCCTCACATAGGAATTACGAGTCATTTTAGGAACAGTTTTGAGTCCGTACTAAAACAAACGACACGACCAGGAGATCGAATCAAATTATGAACAAATTTTCAATGATCTCAAGGAGAAAAAGTTTGCATATCGCCAATCACCATATATACTTCTTAATTAATTCTCATATATTTATATTTTTTGTTTAACAATTATTACGGGGATGGGATACGGTCGTTTTTTTTCCATTAATTACCATCTTCAATCCACGACTCTTATGTCATTCTTCTCTTTTCCTTAGGGTTTTCTGCCCACCGCTGCAATCTTCTCTTCGACGTCTCAATTCAAAATCCCATAGAAGGCATTGGGGCAATGCAATGGGCATCAGGCTCGCTGCTTCTCTACTCAAGATCTTCTATGCACGACGATCAGGTGGGAGTTAGAGTTCATTTAGGCCTTCAACTGGCTTCTGGCGAAGAGGAAGTGGTAGAGCGATTGTACAAAACACAGTGCTCTCTTCTGGAATCGGAAGTGTATCAATCAATTAATTGAACAAGAAGCCGCGTTTCTCCATTCTTGTTATCGGCTGGAATTTCTTCCACCAGATCGATCAATTGTACTTTGCGTTAACGCCCTGATTTTTCACCGTGTAAGCTGTCATTTGGTTCCAAGATCTGCTTCATAATTAGTTTAACCATTTCTCTTCTTGATTACATTGGCAACTGTTCCTTTTATTTCTGGGTTTTGTTTTTGTTTAATGGACTAATGATCTCAAGGTTAAGATGAATGATTTTCTTTTGTCTTGATACCATTAAAGGCACAATTAACGGATCCAAACCTGGGTGATCAAGAATCCTTGAAGGAATTTTGGAATTTTAATGAACTCTTGTTTATTTCATGACATTTAAGGAACAATTTATCATCCCCACAAGTAATACAAGTTACAATTAGTCGCCTCCAATAGGAGTGGCTATACGGTCCAGTCCGGTTAAATTGAGCCAAATTGATCCGGTCCAGTCCGGTCTTTTTGAAAATATCAGGACCAAAGATTGTATTGGATACAATCCGGTCTTGATCCAGTCCGGTCCCAATTAGATCTTGATTTTATATTGAGTTTGTGGAAATTTGAGTGGCCTAATGCCTGATAAGGTGAGGAGTTGGTTAAGTTTTGTACTAAGTGCAAAGGTTTGTGACCGTTTATGCAAATTACCCTTAAGTTTCGGGTGTTGAGCTCTCTTATCCGGTCTTTATCCAGTTTTTGATCCGGTACCGAACGGTTTTTTAGCTCAACTCTAAGTCCAAAATTGGATTGGATTGTTTACTATCCGGTCCCGGTCCGGTCTTGGTCCGAGTTATACTGTCCGGTTTCGGGTAAAACGAAAAATCTGGACCAAATAGCCAGCCCTAGGGAGACACATGCTAACAAATCATTCATACAAGTTACATATGGAACAATTAGTCATTTCCATAAGCTGCATAACTGATAACTCCTCATCCCACAATACATATTCGTCCCTAAAAGTCATAGGTGACAATTTGACGTCTCTAAAGATATATATATATATAGTATATGAGACGACTCGTAATCCTTTAATAAATTTTTGGTGGACGATTTCTAGACTCCAATTTGATACCAATAGGAACGACATGTCGACCCTATAAAAGGAACGAGGACGATATATTATCCCCAGATATGTCCAACAGAATCATGAAATCGGATTATGTGGGACAACTGTTTGTCCCTGGAAATAACGTTTAGGGGACGACTTATTGTCTCTAATGTTATACCTATAGGGACGACATGTTGTCTTTCATGAAAAGGAAACGAGAAAACAACTTGTGAGTAATGGGGACGACTGTCGTCCCTAGTAATGCGGACGACCTAGAATTTTGTCGTCCTCAAAAGAATAGATGACAAGAACAAAGGGAACCATACATAAGGGACGACTTAGCCGTCCCCAAAAACTATAGGGACGTTTTTTCTTATTTTCGGAGACGATTTTTGTCGTCCCCAAATCTCCTCTTTTTGTAGTGTTAATTAAAGAGCCACTTCCCTTCCTTTGCAATATGAAACGTTTCATGGGTTGAATTGAATTATGTCCAATTATTCCATAAAGCAAAACATCACATGATCAATTGATTTGGCAGCTGAGACAATCTCATCGCCCAGGGAAATAGAATGTACCGATGCCATGACTATATCAAAATCAATGAAATGCTGGCTAATTCGTGATTAACCTCATCGATTCAATATTTAACTAGTCAGGTCAATTTCATTTTCCAACAATATTAAGAGCTCAAAGTTTACTCATTTATATTTAAAATGGGTTAGGTTTGAGAAATCAAAATTCAGAGTGTTTCGGGAGCCAGCTCCTCTCTTTTGTTTGTGCATGCATATACTTCATCTCCGCAGAGTTTGCATTCAATATTGGGTTAATAACTTATTTTGGCACGAAGTTTAGCGTTAGTGACAATTCTGACCCCAGTTTTCAAATAAGACATTTATAGCTCACTTTTGAAATTATTGGACAAATCTGGCCCAAAATTTATGTTGACTGTTAAAATTAACGGTCAAACATTCTCACCGTTATTAACTCAACATCTAGGGCTGAAATGGCATCCACGTCACTTTTTAATTAAAAATAAAAAACATTAAATAAGAAATGGACAAAGACTTCTCTCTGCTCCTTTTATTCAAAAAAAAAAAAAAAGACTAACCTACCCATCTCTCTCTCCTTCTTCTTCCTCTCAAAATGGTCACCGCCGCAGAGGAATTATGCCCATCTCCCTCATTCTTTTATTCCCACTCATAGCCGACGATACTCACCAGCTTGATGATGGCAAAGGTCGGAAATGCTCCTGCCTCGTCAGCTTGCCACTGCTTCGGACGAGAAGAGCCATTGATGGTTCAAACCCAGAAAATCCGGCTGTGGTGGCGACGGATCTTGAGGCAGGGGATTTTACTCCCTACACCTGGGTCATCGGCCGTCGATCACTGCGTTGCCTGATGACGGCGGATCTGGGGCGATGAACAAGGACATCGATGCGACGAGTTAGGAGAGCGCGTCGGAAATGCGGCAAAGGTCGAGCTTGATGGGCGACGTCGAAGGTGATTGCAACGACGGATGGGGAAATGTCGAGCTGATTCAAGGGAACGCAGACCGAAAGTTCCTTCCTCTGTTCTCTCCTTCATATATTCCTTTCTTCCTCATTCAACGCTGACGGCTGCTTGACAGCGGCAACAGAGCATTCTCCTTGTACGGAAATCGGAGGAGGAGGAGGAAGAGCCTCGTTGCTAGTAGCTTCTCGCAAGACCAGGTTCCTAGGAAGAATGAAATGTTTGTTCTTTATAGTTACACCGCCGTCAGAGAAGAGTGAATCTAGAAGCTCCCCTGCCGGAGAGGGAAGAGCTGCTGCTGTTGGCGGAGAGTTCTTGGGCCCTTTGGATTGTCTGCCGTGAGTTAAGAAAAAAGAGAAGAAAATTAGGGATTTTGACCCGGGTCTTTGACTTATTATGTTTTTTATTTGTTGATTTTTTATTTTGCTTCTAATTTTCTTCCAGGTAATTAAATAAATTATTATTTGATGATGTGGCAATCATGCATCGGCCACATAAGTAGTTTTTGCTCAGTCATTAACGGTGAGAATGTTTGACCGTCAGTTTTAACGGTCAAAATAAATTCCGGGCCAAATTTGTCAAATAATTTCAAAAGTGGGCCATACATGTCTTATTTTAAAAATGAGGTCAGAATTGTCATTAACGTTAAACTTCGGGCCAAACTAGTCAGGTCAATTTCATTTTCGAACAATATTGAGAGCTCAAAGTTTACTCATATATATTTAAAATGGGTTAGGTTTGAGAAATCAAAATTCAGAGTGTTTCGGTAGCCAGCTCCTCTCTTTTGTTTGTGCATGCATATACTTCATCTCCGCAGAGTTTGCATTCAATATTTAACACAAGTTGCTTCTTCCAAGATAGAACTCTTGCTATAAAACGGGAGTTGGTAGGTTACAACCATTTCTCACCCTAAACACACACCAACAAGCAAAAAAGAAGTATCGTACGTCTAGGGTCACAGTGAGAGCACGGCGGGGGAGAAATTAAATATGCATTCTGCGGCAACTGCGATAGTTGTTCTTTTTCTGGGTGTAATATTACGGAGCCCACTTGCCGTGGACGGCAAATTCCCCGACACGACAATCATGAACGGACCAGACTGCATGGGGAAATCGGACAGCAAGGAGTACGACGACAACGTGGGATATCTCCTAAACACGTTCGTCTCCGGCACGAAGCAATCAAGAAGCAAGAACCAAGACGGAGAGCGGACGTTCCTGCACAGCTGGCCAGGGTTTGCCCAGAAAAAGAAGAACAACTATCGCAGTTGCCGCGGAATGCATATTTAATTTCTCCACCGCCCTGCTCTCATTGTGACCCTAGACGTACTATACTTCTTTTTTGCTTGTTGGTGTGTTTGTTGGTGCCAGCTGTTCAGGAACGTCCGATCTCAGTCTTGGTTCCTGCTTCTTGATTGCTTCGTGCCGGAGACGAACGTGTTTAGGAGATATCCCACATTGTCGTCGTACTCCTTGCTGTCGGATTTCCCTGTGCAGTCTGTGTTAGAGTAGTCAAAGAGTAAAGGAAATACCACATTGGTGGGAGAAGGAAAGTGCAAGTTGTTTTTAAGTTTCCTTTCCACTTTAGTTATTGGATAAAGTGGTTAGTGGGCTTTTGGAAAAAGTGTGGGCTATTTAGTTTGCCTAATTCCTACCAGCAACGAAATAGTGGGGGCAAATAACACTCTAAGGAGAGTGATTAATCACGCCTTCAATCTTATTCTCTCCATACCGTTTCCCTGACAATCTTAGAGTGTTATTTTCGTGTGGCAATGGATTCTGGAGTGGAGAGCACTTTGAAGGCGTATGCCTCTGATTCCAACAAACTCAATCGGTTTGATGGAACCAATTTCACCCGCTGGCAAGAGAAGATGAAGTTTCTGTTGACTGCTTTGAAGATCGTGTACATACTGGATCCTGATTTGGTGCCGCTAGAAGAACCACAAGACACTGACTGTGATGAATTGAAGGCTGAGCGCAAAAAGAGGAGTGAAGACAGCCTGCTGTGCCGAGGATACATCCTCAATTCCCTCTCTGATCTTCTCTACGATGTGTATTCCCAGTTGGCGACCCCTACTGAGATTTGGACATCCTTGGAGAACCAGTACAAATCAGAGAAACAAGGCGCATATAAGTTTGTCACATTCAAGTTCTTTGAATTTAGCATGACTGATAAGCGTTCAATTCTGGATCAAGTTCATGAATTCCTAATCTTGGCCTCTAAGTTCACTGCGTTGAAGATAACTCTTCCTGATGCATTTCTGGTGGGGGCAATCATTGCGAAGTTGCCTCCATCATGGAACAACTATAGGAAGAAATTACTTCATACGTCAGAGGAGTTCACTTTGGAGCAAATTCAGAAGCACCTTAGGATCGAGGAGGAAACTCGTATCCGTGACAAGGATCTGAATTGGGAGGCACCATCAAGTTCCAAAGTGAATGTTGTAGAGAGCAAGAAGGGAAAGAAGAGAAAGGCCATGAATAATTCCAACAACCAGACCAACAACCAGAAGAATAAAAAGAAAAAACCGTCCCCTATGTCCACTAAGAATTGTTTCAATTGTGGGCAATTGGGACATATTGTTCGCTTCTGTCCTAATCCAAAGAACAACCATAATGAAGGGGCTGCAAGTGCAAATGTGATTGAGAAAGTTGAGCCTAGTGAGATTGTTGCAATGATTTCTGACTTACATGTGAGTATGATTCAGGAATTGCACATGGCTGGAGTCATGACCAGTGCTGATTGGTGGTATGATTCGGGGGCAACTGCTCATATTTGCAACAAGAGAGCCATGTTCAAGGACTACACAGAGTCAACGGAGGGACACGAGGTTCTATTGGGTGATCATCGCACGATCAAGGTTCTTGGATCTGGAACCGTGGAGCTTTTCTTCACTTCGGGAAAGAAAGTTGTTCTCACCAATGTCCTTCACGGACCTGATGTTAGAAAGAAATTGGTTTCTGGTTTCATGCTTTGTAAGAAGGGGATAAAGGTTGTGATAGAATCTGATAGGGTGATTCTGACCAAGGCTGGTATGTTTGTTGGGAAGGGCTATGTTAGTGATGGTATGTTTAAGCTAAGTATTGAAAATGGTAACATTAATAATAAAGTTGATCGTTCTGCTTATATCGATGTGCATGCAAATTATAGTATAGAAAGTAATTCATTTGATTTATGGCATAATCGATTGGGGCATGTTAACTTAAAAACTCAGAAATATATGTCTAGGAATGGTTTAGTAATTTGTGGTGATGACAGTGGAGATAAATGTGAAATCTGTGTGCAAGCTAAGATGAAGTGAAAGCCATTTCCTAAGTTGGTTGACAAAAAATCAGAATTGTTAGAATTAGTACATTCTGATATTTGTGAATTTCATGGTCAATTAACTAGAGGAGGATGTAGGTACTTCATTACTTTCATTGATGATAGTACTCGATTTACCTATGTCTATTTAATGCGAACCAAGGATGAAGCCTTTGATAAGTTTAAGTTGTATAAATCTGTTGTTGAAACTCAACAGGGTAGGAAAATACAGATCCTTCGAAGTGACAGAGGTGGAGAGTATTTTCCAAATAACTTTAACGAGTTTTGTGAGCAACATGGTATAATACATCAAAGGACTGCTCCTTACACCCCACAACATAATGGAGTAGCAGAGAGAAAAAATGGAGTTCTTTCTGACATGATTAATGCTATGTTGATGAATGCTAGTGCTCCAAAAAATTTGTGGGGTGAGGCTTTGCTAACAGCCTGTCATGTACACAATAGGATTCCGTCTAAGAAGCTAAGGGAATCTCCCTATGAGTTGTGGAAGGGAAGGAAACCGAACTTGAGTTATCTTAGAGTTTGGGGCTGTCTTGCTTTCTACAGAGTCCCACATCCTAAGAGAACTAAGTTAGGACCACGAGCTTTGAAAGGTGTTTTTCTTGGATATGCAGAAAACTCAAACGCCTATAGGGTTCTAGATTTAGAATCTAATGTGGTTGTGGAATCGAGAGATGTTGAGTTCTTTGAGAACAAGTTTCGACATGACTCTGCAAATGTAGAACCATGTCGAGTTACTTCTGTAGATTCCTCAAATGAGTCTATCTCTGCTCCCGCTTTTGACATTGGTTCTAGTAGCAAAAGGCCTTTAGATGACCCTGCTGCTAATGAACCACGAAGAAGTCAAAGGGCTCAAAAGGAAAAGAGTTTTGGTCCAGAATTTATTGATCCTCAAGATATAGTCTTTCTTGTAGAGGGAGATAGGTTAAATAAGGTTACAAGAAAGATACCCATTTTGTTCCATGTGCAAGACGATCCCAAAACCTATCAAGAAGCAATGGCTTCTAGAGATTCTGCCTTTTGGAATGAGGCTGTTAATGACGAGATGGATTCGTTATTAATAAATAATATTTGGGTTCTTGTGGATTTGCCTCCTGGATCTAAGGCTATTGGATGCAAATGGGTATTTCGCATTAAGTATAACACGGATGGATCAATACATACCTTCAAAGCTAGATTGGTGGCAAAAGGGTTTAGGCAAAAGGAAGGAGTAGATTGCTTCGACACCTATGCACCAGTTGCAAGAATTACTTCCATAACAGTGCTTTTAGCTTTGGCTTCTATTTACAATTTGCATGTACACCAAATGGATGTAAAGACGGCATTCTTAAATGGTGAGTTAGATGAAGAAGTGTATATGGAGCAACCAGAAGGGTTCGTGTTGCCTGGAAATGAAGGAAAGGTGTGTAAATTGCAAAAATCATTGTATGGACTTAAGCAAGCACCTAAACAATGGCATGAGAAATTTGATTTTGTTGTTTTGGCTCATGGATTTTCTCATAACTCTGCTGATAAGTGCATTTATTCAAAGTACACAAAAGAGTATATGGTCATTATATGCCTTTATGTTGATGATATGTTGATAATAGGAACTAACATGAAAGGCATAAATGAGACCAAAGAGTATCTAACTTCCTGCTTCCAAATGAAAGATCTTGGAGAAGTAGATACTATATTGGGCATCAAAGTAAAGAAACATAGTGGGGGTTTTGCTTTGAGTCAGTCACATTATGTCGAGAAGATGCTCAAGAAATTCGAGCATTTGGATATAAAGGAGGCTAACACCCCTTATGATGCATCTTTTAAGCTTTGTGCGAATGAGGGAAGGAAAGTGGCACAAGTTGAGTATTCTAGTGCTATTGGAAGTTTAATGTATGCAATGGGATGTACTAGGCCCGATATTGCATTTGCTGTGGGCAAACTTTCTAGATTCACTAGTAATCCTAGTGCCGATCATTGGAGAGCTATAGGAAGAGTCTTTGGTTATTTGAAAAGAACCAAAGATTTGGGACTCTTCTATAGCAACTTCCCCGCTGTACTAGAAGCATATTCTGATGCTAGTTGGATCACGAGCGCTAGTGATAATAAATCCACAACATGATGGATTTTTGCACTAGGTGGTGGAGCTGTTTCTTGGGCTTCGAAGAAAAAAACATGTATTACACACTCCACTATGGAAGCCGAATTCCTAGCCCTTGCGGCGGCTGGAAAAGAAGCAGAATGGCTAAGGAACATGTTGTTAGATATAGAGGTGTGGCCACAACCGATGCAAGCCATTTTTGTATTCTGTGATAGTGAGGCTACGTTGTCTAGAGCTTATAACAAGATTTACAACGGTAAGTCTAGACACATTAGCCTAAGACATGATTACGTTAGGTATTTGATTACTAACGGAGTCATTTCTATTGTGTATGTAAGGTCGTGCAACAATTTGGCAAATCCTCTTACAAAGGGGTTGCCAAGAGGCATGATCTATGAGACATCCCAAGGTATGGGATTGAGACCTTTTATATAGTTAGAAAGTAATGGAAACTCAACCTTTTCTTTAGATATTCCCTAATTAAAAGGTTCAATGTGGTAATAACAAGTTACTCTAACTGGGAACTAGTTTATTGTACAAGTAAATTAGTTGTAAGAAGGGTGAGTTGTAGGACTCTTAATGACGTTCATTTGGAATGTCACCTATGTGAGCATTTGGAGTGGTGCCGCTCTAACGAAAGTAAAGGTCAACTTTTGTATATGCTCATGAAACAGGATAAGCACATGGCCATAATAGTGCTACCCTTGTTGGTGGATGTGTTTTAGAGAAGAGACGAGTACGTGTGTGGTGTCTCCGGTTCTAGCTTTGGATCTTGACTCCTAGGCTTAAGCCCGTCATTGATTCGCTATGAACTTTGAGATGCTTACACTAAGTAAAGGTTCAAATCGAAAAGATACCTTTATGTATGCGTTACTTGTTTGAGGC